CATATGGATGAAAGAGAATACTGAAAAAAGACATGAAAACAGAAGTACAGGAAATCCTCAATTTAAATGGGCTACAAAGTCAGTTGTTTGGTACAGAAACTATCTTTAAAATCTTTTTCTACTGTTGTTAATGGTAATGGTAATTATTGCAATGCCTTGAGGTGAATTTTAAAGACAGATGTGAGAATATAGGCATATATATTAAATATCCTCTAATCTCAAAGAGAATATAAATTTGAATTAAAATATTCCTCACACTCCCATCACAAAAGGTTCTTCAAATTTAAGAAAGATGCTCAGAATCTGATTGATAGCTGCCAATGAACAAATAAAAAGCACAAAGTATAAGTAACCACAGTTTATTAAACCACATTAGGCAATGATTGTTACTTAGGTTGAACTTTTATTCACAACCAATGAGCTTTGATTTTGTTTAGTCTGGCTAAGTAAGACAGAAGAAAAGCCTGGAATACACTTGAGGTTTTAAAGTTAATTCCAGGTAAACAGTCTCTATTACTTCTGGTAATTCCTTGGTTTTCCTGTACCGAATGTTATCGGTAGCAAATGTTTTTCTTTCAAATTAGTGTGAACTCTGTCCTTCCTCTAAACTTACTTAACAATTTATACCTCTAGTTTAGCACTTTTCTTGGTGCCCTGGCCTGTGATGGTATCAGTCTAATTTTTAGAAATTTTATCTACACGTTTTTAAAAATGAGTCACTTCCTAACACAATTCCTGCTGCTTAAAAATACCATAAGCAAACCTATACAGGATTTTAACATTTGAAAAGTGAACAAAAATAAAAATATACATCAGCCCAAGTTTGTAAAGATAATTTCATTATCCAAGCAAGGACAGAATTAAGGAATTAAAGCATTACTGTCAGGAATTTAAATGAACCAATTAAGACTACAAGTTGAATAAAATATAAGAAACTCCCCCCCAAAAAAGCTACCTGAGAAAAACATACTTTGGGGAAATTTCCCTCTTTAACAGAATAAAGGCCCCTATGATACAGATATAAAAGTACACATTACCTTTTTTCTCACGTGAGACCAAAGGATTCAGGCAACAAAATCACCATCCCTAACTCAACCCAAATAAGTGCAGGAGTAATTGTTCTTTATAAATGATTTCCCACTTTGATATCATAAAAATAAGAAGATTCAGTACCTCTTGGTGGTAAATCCATATCCCCTGATGTTAGTCCTATCAAGTTAGGCCTTTGTGCATGCACTCTGTGTCTATACATAGGTCTGGAAGTGTTTGTTATGCTTGGGGCTTCAGGATTGTAGCCATCTGTGTCATATGTATCTGGTAATACAAAAACTGTAATTAAAAAACAATTATAAAACTCCATGTGGTAATTTTAAAAATACTGTTAATAGAAAAAGTAACTCAGATAACATTACTAACATAAAACTTAACTAACATGTTTTATATTATTAAAATGAAAAGTTTTATAGAAAGTGCTACTAAGAAGAAAACTGACAATTTTCCTAATAATTATAACTGAGGGATTATTTGATATATATTCACGAAGACTACATTGTATCCTATTTTATTTTAGTAAGAAAAACTGTCCTGAGACAGCAATGAACTTTCTAGAGATTTTTAAATTCTTCATCTAAAAACTCTGCTTTAAAACTATATTACACTATGAAAATAGAGGGCCAAAACTGCACCTGCAGTAAAAAGAGAGGGTGGAGCAGGAGGAGGTTGGTGATGAATGCCAGTTGTTACTACAGTAGGAACAGAACTGGTTGCAGAGTTTGGGGGAGCATCCATGCCAGATGGCTGCAAAGGAGGAAGTGGAGGTGGTGGTCCTGTCAAAACCAAAGAATAAGAAATATCATCTGGAAGCAAACAAATAAAATAAATTATTATATATCCAAACATGATATTCTCATTTATCAAACTGTAATCTTCTACAAACACCAAAATCTTACAACTAGTTTTCTATGGCACATCATCCTTTTAATGTATTCCAAAAGAGGTTTGCTTTAAACTATAAAGGACTAAAGGCAGATGGGATATATCAGTGACATACATAATTCACAAGGTCATTCCAAACCCCAGAAAAGTGTTTAGCATAGGATGCAACATGTAGGTATATTCCAAATAAGAATATATTGCTTAGTTTCTATTAGGCATCTATGGACATTCTTTAGATGCTTTTACCAAAAGCAAGTATCAAACTATTGACTTTATAAAAAGAGTATAAACAAACAGATAATAAACACAGACAAACAAACATATGTTCTGACCTGTTACAGGTGGGAGACTGGGTGGTAATGGACCTGGAGGTGGCACTGGGGGTCTGAGATTCACAGGTGGGGGTGTAAGAATTGGTGGAGGTGGGGGGAGTCCAGGAGGAGGTGGTCCTTCAACAACAGGAGGCTGTGCTGGGAAAGGCAACATGCCAGGAAGATTGACATCTTCTACAACTACTGGGTCACTTCCATGATCAAAAGGGCACATGTCTCCTCTCATACAAAAACCCTTTTCTGTGAGGAAAGTTAAAAAGAAATGTGAAAAACACTGGAAATATAAATTATCTCTAAATTAAGAAAACTAAAATACTTACAAGGTGACTGTTTTAAATATTGGGCAAAAATGTAATTAATTAACCACTTCACATGAATAATCTGCACTTTTCCAGTAATATAATCAAGTGAAAATACATCTAACATACACACTTAAAAAAAAAAAAATCACCAGAATTAAAATAAGTATACCCAGTTAGCAAATAACATAAAACTGATATATAATTTCTAGTGTGTTTTTCTTATTAAAAACATATTCTTCATTTAAATCTCTTGTTTAAAACTAAAAGAATAGTGTGACTATGGTTTTAGCCCTACTCATAAAATTTTTACACCAAATCCTTATAAGTCTTCAATTCTCATAATAAGTCTCACATGTCAAGATCTTTTTTACATTCCAACAATCACTCATATGTAAAGAAGTCAGTTTTGCCAAAAAGGTTTTAGTAGCCAATTTCTTTAAAAATAACTCAGTAGATATTTATTCTTATTTGGTAAACGTGAACAATATATTAAGACTTACATACAAATAAATACTATTTTTAAGCTGATACAAAGTTATCAGAGGTGACTATCAAAGTACAATAATATTAGGGAACTTAAGAGATGATAAAAACTGATTTCTGACTATTTCTACTACCAGAAATTAAGTGTCTGAATAACTATACAACTGAAAGAAGTTAGGAAGCTGAAGTATTAATTTAATACTTTATGAAACAGTTAAAAAACACTTACCATCATAGTCTCTACACCTTTTCTTTGGCATTGGTGGTCTTACAAAAGAGTTATGGTCCACCTGGTCTTCATGAAATTCAGACCAACTTTCAGTAGTGTTATTACCATGATGAGTGGGTGCAATTACGGTAATGGTGCTGCTCAAAGTAGGTACAGGATAGTGGCCAGAAGAGATATTGGGTACCGAAGACACTGGAGTATAATTATTTTCTAATGGATCTGCTCTATCCAGGTCGTATTTAGGTTTTACTAGATCCCTTTCTGCAAACAAAATATAAATGACTTATAAAACTACACCCTATTAAAAAAAAAAACTGTACAAGATATAAATATTTTTGCTAAACAGAGAAAGTTTAAATTTTGCACAATCCTTGTTTTATTTTAAAAACTATTCAATTAATACACACTGTTCCAAGACAAGTTATTTCAGTATGAACTAAACTATAAAACTACATGAAGATGCTGTATTTAATGAGTTTTTCCTATGCATTTTGTTTATAGAAAAAAACAAATTTGTTATTTTCTTCATTGCAATCCTAGTATGTATAATTGCAGCCTACAAAAGTATTTAATAAAAAGTATGGCTATTTTTCCTGTGATAAATATTTTCTTATTATCCACCTAAAGATATGGCTTTTTTATAGTGAACACAATATTTTATAAAATAATAGAGCCAGAGATGATAGTATACACCTATAATCCCAATGAGTCTGGAGGCTGAGACAGGAGGATCACAAGACTAGCATCAGCAACTTACAGAGACTATGAGCAACTTAGTGAGACCCTGTCTCAAAATAAAAAGGAAAATGGGCTGGGAATGTGGCTCAATGTTAAGTACCCCTGGGTTAAATTCCTGGTAGCAAAAGAGGGAAAACAAAGGAGTTCATATTAAATATAAAGAAAACTAGGCTGTATATGATTCCAAGCAAGAGAAAATACATTAAAGAGGTTAAATGGCAAAATGTGTGAAGAACCTAGTATACCTACTCACAGAAGAAAAGGCTATAAGAAAAGAATAAACAAGTTCAGGGCTCAAACAAAGCACATTAACAGTATTAAAAGTAACAAAAATCTAAGTTTGAATTAAAGTGTTTTATTCAAAGATGTTTTACTCAGATATCTCTTTCAATAGTATATACTGGGGGCAGGGAGGGGGATCACAAGTTGGAAATGACAGGTTCTTGCAAATATACACATCTGAAATAAAACTTTTAAACTATTATAGTTCTGAGGTATAACTGATAAATAAAAATCTAAATGTAAAGTATACAATGTAAAAAGTTGTGATTCATGTATATACCTCTGAAACCACCACCATAATCAAACTAAATATACTCATTACCTCCAAAATACACTCATATTCCCTGGTAATCTGTAATCCATTCTTCCCTACTTCATCTTAAGCAAAAATTGATTTGCTTTTTGTCATCAAAGCTTGTATTTTTTAAATATATATATACACATGCACACACCATATATGTATATATACTTACCTGTATTCTTTCACTCAACATAACTACTTTGAGATTGATCTACTTTGTTAAATGTATCAATATTTTCCCCCCTTTTTATCCATGTATGGTACAACTATGTGTTTATCCAACTACTCATAGACATTGGGGTTGTTTCTAGTTTTGGCTATTACAAATGAAGCTGCCATGAACATCTATATGCAAATCTGTGTGAACATATGCTTTCAGTTCTTTTAGGTAAATATCTAAGAGTGGAATGGGTGGGTCCTTTATTAGATGCACATTTAACATTTTAAGACTCCTCCAAAATGTTTTCCAAATAGCCACTTAAGTAGTCTACATTCAAAGAATGAATACAGTCTTTTGCTGTAGATATCCTGCTAAATGTACAGTGATAATTATGGTTTTAACTTTCATGGAATAAACTTTTAAAGTAATCTGTTTTAAAATATAGACTTAGACCACAGAATACATCATAACAGACAAAGATAAAATTGGCAAAATGTTGAACGATTTTTAAAAACCCATAATGTGAATTTTTTTCACAGTAAAAAAATGCTAACCAAAAAATATATAAACTTGTATTATTTACCCCTGCTTCGTGTTCTGCTTCTGCTTCTAGTCCTGCTTCTATCTCTATCTCTGTCKCGAAGCCTTTCTTTACTCCAACTCCGACTTCGACTCCTGCTGTAACTGCGACTTCGCCCTCGTCTTCTATTGTACCGGTCTCTGTATGAATCTCTTCGAGGAGGGTTTCGATCATAATCTCTTTTGCGAGAACGATCATCTTTTTTCCTCTCATCACGACTTCTAGAGATATATGATCACTTTTATGTAAATAAAGCTAAAGTGGACAGGGTAGAAATCTCTAAATGCAAAAAGTTGCATTTAATTCTTGTAACATCATTATTTTTTATCTCACCATCAGAATACAAGTATGGGAACTACCAGAAAACTTTTAAGTACTCTAAAAATATTTTAAAAGGAAAAATTTTTTTAACAGCATAACCTTAATCTTATACACATCTACATCTACACAATTAGTCATCTGTACATAAAGGCCTCTATACCTGTCTTTACATTACATACAGTACAAATAGTCTTATACATATAATCAGGCATGTACTACATGTATATACTAACACTGCTGAAACCATAAGGGAAAAATTAATTTAATTACATTAAAGCAAAAAGTAGTTGGATTCCCCTGCAATCTGAAGTTAGAAATAAAAATAATAAACAACAACTAATAAATGTCAAATATTATTCTCAATCTTTCCAAGCTATACAAATATGATCTAGATTTTCTTGGYAGAGAAGGACCTAGTTATACTTTCCAGGATAGCCCTTATGTAAAAGATAATCAAAGACTATACATTCTTATAAAAGACAATCTCAAAGTCTAAACATTGAGTATGATTTAATGAAATCACCTATTTTCTCTGTATCGGGAACTTGACTGGGGAGGACTGTGATTTAGCCTTCTGGAAAACTTCTTCTCTCGCTCTTCTTCTTTTGTAATCTGATATTTTTTAAAAAGTACAAATTTAGCAACAATTATTCACTGCGATATTACTATTTCAATAATTTATGATATTTAAATTAATTTATATAATATAGGAGCAATATTTTCCTCTCATCATGACTTCTACAGAGATATATGGTCACTTTTATGTTAAAAAAAAAGCTAAAATGGATAGATATGCAAACAATATGCAGATATTCAAACAAAATAAATTTCACTATTAAATATAATCATTTAACCATAATGGAGTCTGCTCAAATTTAAAGTATAGAGTAAAAAAATTCATGTTTATCTTAAATAATAGTGGTAAGAAAACAAATATTTAATTGTCCTCATTTTAATATAATTAACAGAAAAACACTTTACAATTTCTTTCAAAAATCTAACATACATGCTATGTTTTGGTTTCACAGATTTAGTCTTATACCAAACACACCAAAGAATATAACAGAATGCATAAAAACTAACCAAGTATTAAAAAAGAAAATATTTGAGGACTGGGAATGGGTGCAAGGCCCTGGTTCATCCCTAACACAGGAAAAATAAAAGGACGGGAATGGTGAAGAGAATATTTGACAAAAATATGTATAGAGCTAAATAGTTTCTCACTGCATCCTGTCAACTATATAAGGAAACATTCCCTTGATCAGTGCTACTTTTTCCAGRTTGTACAGCCCAGAACACTAGTTTCACAGGATATTAATGTATAATAAGAAAAAAARGAATTAATACTGAACATAGTTTCTACACATGTGTCAGGGCTTAAAATTACTCATTTGCATGAAGAACCCTATTCTGATTCAAATAATCTATAGGCAGGGTATCCCAGTTAATACCACCTTTTTCAGAATTCCTTTGGATAAAAACGTCTATCAAAAGTGTACCACTTAAATAAATTAAATGGAAATTCTACCAATAGACTAAACTAGGTGAATATTTTATAATGCTTTCAACAGTTTACTTCTTTATCAAGTACTTTTCTCTTCCCATCTACTCCAACTCCCCTCTCAACCCAGACAAAAAAACTGCGAACTAATAACCGTCCTGGTGCACTTTTCCTTTCTATTTGCCTCAGTTGTCCTCTTGCAAGTAATTTAAGTTAGCAGCCATATTCCACAGCACATGCTCAATTGAAAATTTTTAATACACCACAGCATTTTAAACCCAAACTGCCACCTGGAATTATGACAGTTCTAAAAGATCAGGGATAAATATTCTCCACAACTGGCCAAGTAAAAAGTATTACTGCATCAATAGACTTAAGACTAAGCTTTATCGCTAACTTGCTTTGGAAAAAGACTATTTCTTAAACCAAGGGCCCATTATTTACTCAAGTTTTTTTAGAGACAGCAAAAATCTGAAACCAACCCAAATTTGTATCAATGAAAAAAGCTTAAAAATTATTATATATATATTTACGTGGCACAAGAAATTGCCAACAAAATATGTAGGTCTTTTCCTAATATATCCCACACAATGGTAGGTATGAAAATGCTCAGTTACAAAATTACAATTCTTGTCTTCCCCTGCACATAGAATTGACTGGGATGTTTGTGTGTAGGTGTAACTATATATAAAACTATACATACATGTAAATAGCTTCTGTATGTACAGATGTATATAAATATATTCAGAAAGACAAAAATACACTTGAGAATTATTACACAATATATGTACATATTATTACATAATAAACTATATTGCTTATATCATCTAGGAAAAGAATAGGAAAAAATACTAAAAATCACAACCATAATTCCCTTGTGTTTGACTACCTTAAAAATAGTTCCTTACTGGGCTGAGTTRTGGCTCAGTGGCAGAGCACTCACCCACACATGTGAGGAACTGGGTTGAATCCTCAGCATCACATATAAATGCATAACTAAAATAAAGGTATTGTGTTCATCTACACTAAAAAAAAAAAAAAWTTTAAATAGTTCCTTACTAATAAACAAATGAAGGATAGAAGCAAACAAGTCTATTGTCATTCTAATTGTTTTCATAGGACACAAATGATGAGACTCCATGTTTTTAAGATATTGTGCACAAAAGAGTTAAAAGCAGGTTTAGACTGCTATTTTCAGGAGGGCATGCTTATAAGACTTGTCCTTGGCTGGTGTTATGCTTTGGATCTGCAATGTTCCTCAAAAGTTCATGAGTTGAAGGCCTGGTTCCCAATGTAGCAAACATTCAGAGGTTAAGACTTTCAGAAAGTGATGGGATCATAAGAGCTCTAACATCTTCAGTGGATTAATCCACTGTTGGCCTCATGATTTCAACTGGACTGTTAAGAGATGGTAAAAACTATAGGAGATGGGAACTAACTGAAGGAAGTAGTAGATCCTTGGGGGCATGTGCTTAAGGACCATATTTTGCCCCCAATCCCTTCCTCCAATTGTCTCTTCTTTGGTCAGTATCTTTCCTTTGCCACATCCTTCCACCATTATGTTCTGCCTTGCCTCAGACCCAAAGCAATGGAGCCAAATTAATAATGGATTGACACCTCTTAAACTGTTAGCCAAAATAAATCTTTCGTCCTCTCAGTTGTTGTTCTCAAATATTTTGATCCAGAAATGAAAAGCTGACTAATATAACTGGCTTCTGCAACCCTTGATTTTGTTAGGGTTTCCACCATTCACTGATTAAGAATGACTCACTGGCCAGGTACATGTAATCCCAATGACTCAGGAGGTTGAGGCAGGAGAATCACAAGTTCAAAGCCAGACTCACTCAGCAACTTAGCAAGACCCTGTCTCCAAAATAAGCAGCTTAGCAAGACCCTGTCTCCAAAATTAAATGGTTCCTGGAATTAGTGGTCAATGAGTGGTTTAAAAAAAAAAAAAAGGCTAAGTCTATTTGTGGTAACAATATGATTTACACCCAGTACCTACTTTCCTTTTGGGAGTATAGAATCTTGGTACATATTAGGTAGAGGGCGCCTACCACAAATAAAAACCCTGGGAACAGAGTCTCTAACCAGCTTCCCTGATTCACTTGCATCATCAAAACTCATTTTGGGGAATTAACATATCCCATGTGACTTTAAGGACTTTGGAAACTTTAGTCTATATTCCACCAGATTTCACCTAATACACCTTTTCCTTTTACAGATTTTTGATTTGTATTCCGTTAAGAAGTCACAGCCAAAAGTATGACTGCATGCTGAGTCCTATGGGTGTTCCTGGTAATATCACCAAACAGAGGTGGATCTTGAGGCCTAGTAACACAAAGACACAGAAAAGAAAACTATTGTGCTGAAAGGACCTGTAAGGGATAACACAAATTCTTACCTCTTCTTTTTTTATATCTTTTTCTTGGTGCTGAAAAAACTCTACCTTCAGGCTTCCTGATGATGGCTGCTCTGGAGGAGGTAGATAACTTTTTGTATTCACAGCATCAAAAAGTTTTTCCACAAATATCTGTGTCTCTAAAAATAAATAAATAAACTAGATTAAAAGACATGACAAAAATTTTGCACTCTTACACATCAGACCTCCAATATGATAAAATATATCTTGACTTATATAAATCTAGAAATTATACTAAAACCAACAGCTTCCCAATCATCATATAATAGCCATGGTAATAATGATTTGTTTAATCTGTTTTCAAGGTAGGAGAGACTGGAATGGCTAGAGCTTCTGGGCCAATCACTTCCCAGTCATGAATAGTCTATTTGATATAGCCCACCCACTATGTAACACAAACACTATTATTATCTAGATATTGACAAAGTGTAAAAGTTGAAAAGCAACATAGCTAGAAAAGAATCAAAGTGGTTTCCTAAGTGATACTAGTTTTGAATAAACATTTAGTCATTTTCTTAATCTTTTAACCTATGTCAGAAAAAAACATCAGCATGCATGAGCATATTCCTGTAATCCCAGAAGCTCAGGAGGCTGAGGCAAGAGGATCACAAGCTCAAAGCAAGTTTCAGCAAATAGCAAGATTCTGTCTCTAAATAAAATATAAAAAAGGATTGAGGAGAAAACTTGGAATGGAACCACCATTTGACCCCATTATCCCACTCTTCAGCATATACCCAAAGTTAGCATACTATAGTGACAAGGCCACATCAATGTTAATAACAGCTCAATTCACAACAGCTAAGCTATGGAACCAACCAAGGTGGCCTTCAACAGATGAATGGATAAATAAAATGTGGTACATATACACAATGGAATATTACTCAGCCATAAAGAAAAATGRAATGGAGAATATCATGCTAACTGAAATAAACCAGTTCCAAAAAACCAAAGGCCGAATGTTCTCTATGATATGTGGATGAAGACTCACAATTGGGCAGAGTAGGGTGGAGGTTCACTGGATTGGGGGAAATGGGAACAGGAAAGATAACCCAATGAATCATACAAAACTTTACTACATTCATTTATGAATAAACAACCAGCGTTAACTCCACATCATGCACAATCACAAGAACGGGAATTATACTCCATGTATGTTGATGTCAAAATACATTCTGCTGTCATGTATAACTCAAAGAATTAAAAATTGTTCTATTTATTTTTTTAATTCATTTTTTAGTTGTAGTTGGACACAATACTTTTATTTTATTTATTGTATGTGGTGCTGAGGATCGAACCCAGGGCCTCACACGYACTAGGCGAGCACTCCACCACTGAGCCACAACCCCAGCCTCCAAAATTGTTCTATATTTAAAAGGGGTGGATAAGGATAGGTCTCAGTGGTTAATTGCTCCTGGGTTCAATCCCTAGCACCAGAAAAAAAAAGAAAGAAAGAATGAGCATATTAATGAGGAAGTTTCCATTTTAAAGCTATGGATATAATCAGAAACAACACTGTTTAACTGTTACAATTACAACCTATCTCATACTAAATTCCTTTAATGCTCTATGAATAATCTTACTATAAATAATTTATTAAAACAATAACAAAATACTAATTTTAAAACCATAGGTCTTACCTTTTTGAAGAAATACATCCAGCTGATCAATACATAATGCCTTTAACTCTTTTTCACTTTTGTCTTTCTTTACCAAAGCCAACACATATTTTGCCACACACAATGGCACTGCAAAAAAAAAAAAAAAAAAAAAAGGAATGTTGAGGGTCTGGGGTTGTGTCTCAGTGGTAGAGTGCTCACCTAGCATGTGTGAGTCCCTGGGTTCAATCCTCAGCACCACATGAAAAAAAAAAGATACTGTGTCCATCTACAACTAAGAAAAAAAAGAATGTTAAAGAAAATTTAGCTATAAATAACAGCACATCCTATAAATTTTAGGTACAAACTGACTTATAAGATATTACAGTTGTAAATTAATATGTGTAAAAATACTGCCTCATACAAGGCACTAAAGAAATATGTTCTCCTTATGTTAAACACCTTACATATCATAAATTCTATTATTCATACAAGAAATGATACACATAAAAAATGACAAAGTTTTCATCTTAGAGAAATCAGTTTGTTGAAAGGGTAGAGAAGAACTTTATACAATTTGTTACCATTTGTTGGGGAGGAGGAGAAATCAGGTATTCAGATTGCTTACGTTTGAATAATATGTATGATTCAAAGGATAGAAGGATTAAAAAAAAAACAACTAATAACTATGGTTATTTGTGTCAGGGGAGTGATGGTGAGATTCAAGAACAGAAAAGACAGGAAGGAAAGTTTCTGATGAGTGAATCATGTTCAAGATTTAACCCTAAATTTCACTGTCCAAAGTCTACACTTAACAACCACTACACTAGACTGCTTCTTACAAAAAGTGGCCCAGAAACCAGACCTCCAATTTTCACATCTAGTTGGTTTATTTCAGTTAGCATGATATTTTCCATTTCCACCCATTTACAGGCAAATGCCATAATTTCATTTTTCTTTATGGCTGAGTAATATTCTATTGTGTATATGTACCACATTTTATTTAACAATTCATCTGTTGAAGGACACCTACCTCCTCCTTTTATTCTCCCCTTTTCAGTTTAATTTTCAAAGCCCATTATTTAATACAGTCTCTAACCAATTTCTCAATCTCCTATAWCTTTCCTTTTACCATCCTTCTAACTCATGGGCTTGGTGAAATCCCAACCTAGAACTGCCACCATGCCTAGCTGGCTAACTACTTTTTAAAATTTGTTAAGAATTCAAAATATAAACTAGAATCAATGTTTATAATTTCATATCTAAAACCAAAACAACTTGCACTTGGGAGGCAATTTTTTTCAAGTTATATATGTCATTCCATCATTATTTCTGTATTCTGAAAACAAAGAAAAGGTATGTACTTGGCAAATTTGAGCAGAAAATAAACTGAACCATAAAAATTTTAATGATATACCAAAATGTTTTGATTAGGAATAGAAAGGCTAAAGATGTCCTACTTTTGTCTTAATTAGAAGTACCAATACTACATTATCTGAACACCTAGTAATGATAATCTGCTATGAAAAGCTAATGAAAGCATTTAAATTTACCTAATCAAAAGAAAATCATACTCAGATAGTAAGGGGTTATTAAAAAAAATAGTCTCCATGGCAAGCAAGACTGTTAGGGAGATATTTTGCTATACTAGTTGCCACTGCTACTAACAGKTTTGTGATGTGAATGACACAAAATGTATCAGAGTTAGATTATTTCCTTCACTGAAATCTTCTTACAAACCATAAGAAAGAGGGCAGGGAAAATCAATTTTTGAAAATGTGACATACATCCTTCCTATTTAGGAAACCGGTTCTATTTTCCCTGTGTACTTTTTAACCACCCCTGCAAAACAATCATAAAATCTGCCATTAAAGAATGATTCTGACCAAACTGCTTTAACTCTCTTCACCTGTTGKGGGTACAGGTGGGAGAAGAAGAGTAAAGAAAACAAAAATTTAAAAAAAGAAAATCAGAAACTACAAAATAAGAAGGCAGGACACCTTACTTACCAACCACATTGGTAGAAAGCAGGCAAAGGGGGAATACCGTAACTATTTAGTGAAAAAATATATTAAAATAARATTAAAGTGTGAAACGGTAAGGGGGAAACATAATTCATAATGATGCAATAAAACAGAGAGAGAATAGTGCGGCTCTCCCATGTACAAGAGTGCTATGGCTTGAAGTTCTGGGTGCCACCTTTTATATTTTTTTAAAAAACAGATTCTTAGAAAATGCTCAAGATGGTAAATAGATGTTATTATTAGATGGCTTATGAGGGATTCTCGGCCTAGAGAATAGAAATGTCAGAGAGAACTCAGTAATCCTGCAAATAACTGACGGGCTATCACAAGGAAGAAGAATTACATTTATTCAAATGTCTTCCATGGGATATAATTACAAAGAGTAAATAAAAACAACAGATTTTTGTCTTAAAATAGATGTACTTTAAAAAAAAAAAAAAAGGCCTCCCCAAAGCAAAATAAACTGCCTAAAAGTACAATAAACTACCTGAAAGAGAATTCTTCATTATTAGAATGATTTCAAGTATAGACTGRAAAATCCCTGGCAGATAAGCACTGGACTAGATAGTAAATGCCCCACAAACCTGAAAGAGCATAATCATTAGATTTAATTTTGTTCACAAGATATCATGCAAACATATGAAACATCCCTTCTCATTACCAATCTACCTAGCTATATGTATGTGAAAAATAAAAAATATCTTTAAAAAATTACACTATAAATCACAAACCATAAAAGATGTTTTACTGAAAAAATGAAAATTCAAAAACTAATTTTTTTAACTCTTAGAATCTGGGCCTATCATGGATCATTTTCATCTTCATAAAGTTTGAATAAAATAAAATAACTTATTATGTTTGGCTTGGTGGTTATCTTCCAATATTGCATTCAATCCTCAAATACTTAATATATACTCAGTATGTCAGACATTATTCTAGATACTAAGGATATAACTTTGAAAAGAATAAAGTACCTGTCCCCACAGAATTTATATTGGGGTTGAGAGGACACACATATACATACACATATTTATGTAAATAATATGTACTGTCATATAGATAAGTGCTCTATAGAAAACTAATTCAGGGCAAGATAATGCATAGAGGAGGAGGAAAAACTAGAGAGAAGGAGAGAGGGAAGCAGGGAGGGAGGAAATGAGTGAAGAATTACAATCTTAGAAGAGATCATCCAGGACTGACTCTTGACAAATTGTTTTAAATAGAGATCTGAATCTAGGCATGGATTGCAATGAAGTACAACAAGATGTTTTATGGGAACAGTCCAGACCCAGTGAACCCAAGAGAAAGARTGTCTGAGGCAAAAGCCTATTTGACATAATACAAGGAAAGATATTCCAGTGAAATGGAGCAAAATGAGCATTCACCAACATTTAAATTTCGAATCTTTCATCTCTTCAAGGATTTCAAATTAATTGCTTCAGTGAACTTTGACAAATTAAACATCCAGATCACCTTAAAACCATTCACATAATGATTTAAAGGCATAAAAATAAAACTTTATCAATCTTTGAATATGCCATGTGAAGAATACAACAGATAAGAATGCCATTTTTATTTTGGAGGTTCACCTTCTTGCATAATTTTAATAAGTATAGGGGTGACTATCTAAGAGGGTTATTTTTCTTCCAGCTATATATGAGAAAGTATACAAACTAAATAAATTTGATAAGTCAAAGTAATACAGAATATCAAATGCTATAATAAATTCTCCCCCAAAGAACTGGATTTTCTTAATATTGTTTAAATAACATGAATCAAAGTGCCCCTAGAAATAAGGGTTGCAATTTTTCCTAACATACTCATCATATAATTGTTTTAGTTTATGATTTAGGATTTTTCAAAACAGTAATGAAACAAAGAAAACTGTAACACTCCACAATAATATTTCAGGAGTTTGTTTTGCTCRAGTTTCTTGGAGGCTTTAGAAATTCAGTGGAAGATAACTGATAGAATTTAACCCCAGCTTCCATTTTCAGTAATCTTGAAAAGAAGGAGCTGGAGGTGGTAGTGGGAATTAAAAATTAAATTTAAATATGTTAACTCAGTAACTGAAGAACACGGATATACACCCACATCTGTTCCTACCAATTTTTCATTTTATATTCGTGAAGAATACCTAATTTGCATCAGTCATAATTCTTTATTCTGTACTTATGATTACTTTTTAAAACCCAAATTTCAAGCAACAAATATGATACACACACTGAAATTTTTAATTGCTGTAGTTTATTGTGCAGTTTCATATAATCCAAGTAAGGCAAAACAGATTGATTGTGGTTAACTGTTAAAGTACATGTTATTCATTAAGAATTATTATATGCTCAGTTCATTCTACAAAATAAAATTACCACCAAAACATATTGAAACATGATCTGAACATAAGAATCACATAATCCACTTAATTTCCTCCCACCTTTCTTTACAAGAGRGGATCTCCAATGTTTTCTCAGATTCCCTTTATGTAAAAATTAGAACTCCAAAGAGCTTTTAGGGCTATAGCTATCAATATTTATTATATTAATAATGAAAGTGAGAAAGTTTTTAATTCCTTTAAACTAACAACCAATTACAACTTAGCATGAATATTATTTTCTTGAAGTCATCAAAGGAAGTATTGCTACAAATAAATGAAAAATCCAAAAGCATCACCAGCTTTAGGCATAGCTGTAAATAGGAGTTCAAGAGATATTACCAGGATACTACTTWGCTTTCCCTTTAGAGCATCTCATTTTTAGACCACAGAGAAGCAACAATAGATCCACAGCTATGTTATTCTCATAGCCAGAGAAAGGAACCTATCATTCTCTCCCTCAGGGTCTGTACTGGCCCGTACTGAAAATGACTCAACCTCCCAGTCTGGGTCATATCCCCTCCGCAAGGTCAGGGATAAATAGAATTCCAAGACTGACCACCTCACTTAAACTAGATACTGTACTTTTTACAGGGGTCGAGGGAAATCCTATATTTTATAAAACAAAAGATTTTTTACAAGAATTATAATATTTCACGTTTTGTTCAAATACCTTTAAATGTCCTGTTAATAGAAGGCAGATCAATACTTCTGCATTCCATCTGTTGTGACACTGTTTGGAAGTACATGAAGAAAATCTGGTCCTACACAGATTTATAGTTAAAAAAAAAAAAAAAAAGAAAGAAAAATGGGAACCTCACGGATGACGTGAAAGTGTTTTAGGGAAACCCTAGGAGTCCTCACACCACACACTGCTTTAAAAGTTATTAAGACATTTGTCTAATTCCAAGACAAATTAATATCTTCACAATCTCAAAGACCCAATAATCAGATCACAAAATCAAAGTAAAAGTTTGTACTGTTCAGTGCAAAGAGCAGTAACCCAAATAGCAAATTAAGCACACATACTCCTGGGCATAACATCATACCTCTCTTAGCTCTCTTTTTTGGGGGGACTAAACCTAGGGGCATTTAACCACTGAGTCACAGCCCCAGCCTTTTTTTTTTTAATATATTTTATTTAGAGACAGGGTCTCGCTGAGTTGCTGAGGCTAGCTTTGAACTGGTGATCCTCCTGCCTCAGCATCCTGAGCTGCTGGGATTACAGGCATGTGCCATGATGCCCAGCAAAAAAACTCTTAAGAGAAAATTGGAATGGCAATATGGAAACACACAACAAAATTCCACATTTAGATATTTGCTGGTATTTTTTATTCTAATTCATAGTTGAAGAAGTATTTGAGTTTTCTGGGGAAAGTATGGTTTCCAATAGTCATCATTTTATTTACATTCTACCTAGTTACAAAATAGATCTCAGGTAATCCATCCCTTCTGTTATTAAAAGATGACATAAAAGGCTAGTAATATTTTCTTTCATGACCAAGCAAAGGCAGAATTTTCCAAGAGAAAGAGTACCAAGGACTACAAATATAAACTATCATTCTATTGTATAAACTAGGCCAAGTCAGTTAAACCATTAACATCTATTTCTTAAATATTTAAAAATAAAACAACATACTGGCTAAAGTTGTGTGGTAGGCTACACCTAATACACATTCACTTCTAAGTCTTTTTTAATATTGCCAACAAAATTTTCTAATACTGATAATGATGCTGAATATTTTCCTTTAAAAAGAGTAATTATAGACCTTTTTTGATTCAGAAATCTCAGGACTAAGAAATTAATCTTTAGTTTCTTCATCTGAGGAAACAGCCGTTTTGTCAAATTAGAAATAATTGTAAATGTGTTTAAGGAAGGCTTACTTTTTTTTTCTTTTTTTATACTGGGGAATGAACCTGGAGGCACTTTACCACTCAGCTACATACCCAGTCCTATCTTTTATTTTGAGACCGGGTCTAGCTAAGTTGCTCAGGGCCTCACTAAAGTTGCTGAGGCTAGCCTTGAACTTGAGATCCTCCAGCCTCAACCTTCCAAAAGTCTCTGTGATTACAAGTATGCACCACCATGCCCAGCAAGAAGACATTAACCTGGTAAACATCATAACACAGGTTCAAGAATTACTGAAGAATAAATTACAATAAAAATTTGAAAGTTATAAAATGTCTATACTTACTTCTAAGAATATGCTTTATTTTAAATTCTGGCTGCATTTTAAGTAATATATTTGCTTTCGAGCTCACCCACTTAGTCCTAAGCCATATTGTTGGCCTKTCTTTGAAGAAGTCTGGTATTGTTTAAGAAGAAAAGAAAAGCATGGACTGAATCCCAAAATACCTGGGGTTTTAAAATTTCTAATCTGGCATTAATTCTACTTATTCACTAAGTATATAATCCTGGGTTAGCATTTTACTTCTCCAGGCTTCAGTTTACATATTTTTAAAATAAAAACACTAAACTACAGCATTTGAAAAAGTGGGTCATTTCAAGGAGTAAAATGTTAAGCTTTCCCCATCAATGCACCTTTTCTGTTTTCTGCTCTTCCCATCCCTAATAACTTTTAGCTAATTGAACTTTAAAATTCAGTATACTGTTAGAATCTTTAGGGGCAAAAGAAATTTTTCCCTTTATGTCTTTTTTCAAGAACCATGGGATGCCATTTTCTCAGCATACGCAAGCAAATTTTAAAGCTCTGGGAGGGATATATAACAACTAAATTCTACTAAATAGAAACATTTTGTATATTTCCCCTAAGTTGAAGACCTAAAGATCTATACATATTTCTACCACTGCTAAATTGTAACTGTTTTATGTTTGTCTGTTTCCCCTCAAGGGGATTCTAGGTAACTATGTCTGCCTTTTTTCCTAGAACCAACCACAATGTATTGAGAAGTATCTACTAATTACCAACATTACACAAAAGGTCATATAGAAGTAGAGGCATAGCAACCAAAACTCAGAAAAAGCATGTCTTAATTGATGTCACAATTAGGACAAATGTATAAGTGTACTAATGAATTCATAAATCTGTCACAGATACAAAAATGTAAATAAAAATGCCTCTAACATTTTGACAAGTTCCTCTTCCTTTGACAAGTTGTCTTTTCTTCCTATATCCTGACTGCTCAGACTTAACCTCCTGTGCACATTTAGCACACATTTTCCAAGATTACCACCTTCTCTCTTGCTAAGTACCTAGACTAAGTACCACCTACAAAGTCCAAGTTTAGTTATTTCACAATTCACTCCTAAGCTAGAATGATCAACTGCTTGCTAAAATTGTCTCCACAATACAAGTTAAAATTAAATTATCTACATACCATTAGCAACATTCTTGAAAAAATATCTGATCGAGTTGCTCCTACTTTAATCTTCTCCAATTTTCCAAAATATCCAAATTCCAGCATGGCAGTAAAACCTCCTCTTAATCTGAAATCAATAAAGGCTATGTGGATTCAGAAGCCTCTTCTTAGTCCTAATACAGGTGGTTCCTCAAAACCTCATGTATCCTCACAGAACTTAACTTTTATTTCAATTTGACGTATTTAATCTCATCAGAGGCACTCAAAAGTTAACAAAATTCAATCTGAAAAATATCAAACACACACACACACACACACACACACACACACACACACACCCCACTCTTTATTTACTGGTGATATATAAAGCAGTTTTCAAAATAAGATCTACTTCTTCCAATCAATATTCTATTATGGAATTAAACTATTTAAAATGGTAACTTAAGTACTTGAGATCATGAAAGAACATAATATAAGCATTAAAAGGTCAGTTTTCCACTGCTAAATCAAATACCTGAGATAATCAACTACAAACAGTTTTGTTTTAGCTTAATTTTAGAGGTTTGGGCCTATGGCAGCACATCATGTTGGAAGCTGGAAGCAGAACAAAAGTATTTATTTCATGGCTAGGAAGTGAACAAGAGTGAGGAAGTGGACGGGGTTCCACTATCTCCTTCAAGAAAACACAGCACCTTCAATGACCTAGAAATCTACCAGGAGGACCTCCCATTAACACTAAGTCTGAGGACCACAGCTTTAACACACAGCCTTTTGGGGAACATTCTAGATTCAAAGTATAGCAGTCATGCTGACAATTTTAAATATTCCCCAAAAAGTCATAAGTGATAGCACGCCATGAAGTACCTGTTATCTTTTAAACTCATACAAGGAACAACAAATAAATGATCTCCTGAACTGCATATTAATGTTTATGTGAAATTTATAGTCACACAAAATTTTATTTACAACAACTGACTTCATTTAAATTTCATAATTTTTATATCAACTTTTAAACTTCCAACAAGCAATGGAAAATAAATAACTGAAGAATGTATGTATAGCAATAGAGAGTATAGGATATCAGAATTCAAAAAACTCAAAAATAGTCTAGAATTTATAATGACATTCATTATATTATGTCCAGTCACTTGTTAGAAATGGTTCTTTAAAACCATGGGGAAGGGTTAAAAATGCAATACAGGACATAATTAASTAAGTTTATCTGGACTAATAGGTTTAAAGAAACAAGAAAATACCTGGCCAAGCTTCCAAACATCCATTTTCCCCTCTTTTTGTGGTGCTTAGGGTTGAGCCCAGGGCACTCTACCACTGAGTTACACATTCCCAGTCTTTCTTATTTTTTATTTTGAGACAGGTCTAGTTAAGTTGCCCAGGTTGGGTTGAACTTGTGATCCTCCTGTCTCAGCCTCCCAAACAGCTGGAATTATAGGCCTGAGCCACCTCACCCAGCCAAACATCCAGTTCTTAATCCTAAAAAACCCTCCAACAATAACATTAGATGATTTCTGGCAATCAATTCCTACTAATGAGAATAAAGTGTATATACACATGGAAAAATACACAGAGGAAGATGTATATTTATAGTCAAAAAATAGGAAAACAACCTAAATGACAGGAACAAAATAGTTATACAAAGTGTAGTATGTCCACACAATGACACTAAATTTCAGGCATTTTAAACATAAAAACTACATGTTATACTAAAAGTCCAAAAGAAAAGACATTTCAAACCCTTCTGCTATATTTGCTATCTTTTCACACTGTGAAAATTAATTTAAGAGGCTACTAGCATCTGCTATAAMTTGGATGTCACCACCATAACTCACGTTAAAATTGTATCCCCATCATGAGGTAGAACCAGGCGAGGTCTTCAGGAAGTAATCAGAATTAGATGAAGTCATGAGAGTAGAGCTCTCATGATTGCATTAATGAGCCTATTCGGACTTGCTATGTGCTGCTCCATACCAACTGCCTTGAGACTTTAGACAATACTCATCAGAAAGAAGAAGAAAGAAGGTTCTCACCAGATATGGTCCCTCAACCTGAGACTTTCCAGTCTCTGGAACTGTGAGAAATAAGTCTATTTTCTTTATAAATTACCCAATTTGTGTTACTGAGTTGCAGCAACAGAAATGGACTAAGACTGGTCAAACAGGTCATACTGTAAATACAACACTATTCAAACAAATTGCATTGTGTTCACTAAATGTAACACTATGGAGACACAGGAAAGAATAGGATTCTACTTAATAATATACCCTTATGGCAGGATATGCAGTGTTACCTGGAATATTARTTGCAGTAGCATGGGCATAATATGAGCTAATAAAATTTTTTAAATTATCTACTTACATAAATATGTAATAAGTGTGTGTTAAGTTTTACATGTTTATAAGTATATGTGAAAATAAGAAAGGGGACATAAGACTCACTTTTAGTTTATATTTTTATACTATTTTAATTAAAGTAAGCATGTATTATTATCAAGTAAAAGATTTAACAAGAAACTGTGTTAATCTGAACTAAAAATAGTATTGACATTATTATAATAATTATACATTACTCTAACAATGAAATACTACTCAACAATAAAATGAAACAAAGTATTTGCAACAGTAAAACCTTTTAAACATTATTTTTAAAAGAAGTCTTACACAAAAGAATACATACTCAATGATTCCATATGTAAGAAGTTCTAAAACAGGCAATACTAATATATAGTGGCAAAAACATCAGAAAAGTGTTTTCAGGCAATACTAATATATAATGGCAAAAAAAAATCAGAATAGTGCTTTCTTCTAGTGACAGGTGTGGTCACAAGAAGGAGAATGATGAAAACTTTTCAGGGTGATGTCAATGTTCTTTACCTTGATGGGAGACTGGGTTACAACAATGGATGCATTTGTTGAATTCATTAAATGGTACACTTAATATTTATCTGTATATTTGATTGTACACAAACTCTAAAATTTAAAAAGAAAACTAAACCAATACTGAACTGTAATGATATACATCTTTGGGGTAAAGTGCACTGATGTCTACAATTTACTTTTAAATGAATCAAAGAGGACACAGTGACATGTACACTAAAATGTTAATGGCAGAATCTAAGCAATGGGTGTATCACTGTAAGATTCAAAACATGTTTCTTATATATTTGACTTCTCATATACTATAATCCTGTGGGGGAGAGGGTTAAGCAAAAATAGGCAGAAAATTCTGAAAATGAGTATTATTTAACAGGGAACTAATCTTACAGGTAATTATAAATCCCCCCAAAATAAAAGTGTGGTATAATAGACATAGATCAATAACACATATAGAAAGTTAGAAAAAACCCAAATGTACATAAAAATTTATTATAGAATTAAGGTAGTCTCCCAAATCATTAGGAAAACACATATATTATGCAGTTAATTGTATAAGGATAAATTTGTACACATGTGAATATAATAAATCAAGAGCACTGGATCCAAATATATTTCAGGTGGGTAAAAGACTGAGGTATTCAAAATAAGAGCACTGTCAGGGGTGATGGTGCATGACTGTAATCCCAGCACCTTGGGAGGCTGAGGCAGGAGAATGACAAGTTCAAAGCCAGCCTCGGCAACTCAACTAGGCCCTAAACAATTTATCAAGATTGCAAAACAAAAAATTAAAAAGGGTTGAGAATGTGGCTCAGTGGTTAAGCACTCCTGTGTTCAATTCTCACTATCAAAAAAATTTAAAGACTATAAAGCACATGGATGATACCACTAGGACTCTCTGAAAGACTGTATTTAATCTCTGGCTCAGTATGTGTGTAGTATGCCTATCATTTATTAAAGTTCATTCACTGTGATAAATCAATCAGTACATGGGCAACCTGGTAAGCACTATTAATGATAGCTATCAATACATTACCACCATCATCAATATCCTCATCTCAGAATAGGAAAGATTTTGTGTAGCTTATAAACAAATCCAGACTCCATGAAATAACTCCACTCTCTATATTAAAACAATTTCCAAGCCAGGCATGGTAGTACATACTTTTAGTCCCAGCTACTTGAGAGACAAGAACAGAAAAGCTGCCTCAGCCCAGGAGTTTGAGGCCAGCCTGGGCAACAGAGTGAGACTTCATCTCCAAAAGGAAAGAAAGAAAAATTACTGTAAGCAGAATCAACATAAATGTCAATATGGGGAAGAGAAGTTGCAATCCATATAGTAATTTCTCTAATATATGAAAATCCCTACAAATAAAAATTTTAGGAAAGCAACAATGTAACAGAAAAAAATAGAATATGAGGAACTGACATGAAAAAAAAATACAGATAGATGAAGCAATTAAAAATGTCTCCCAACATAATTCATAAAACAAATTCACATTAAAACTACAGTAGACTTTCCACTTCTGGATAGATGCAGAAAAATCAAAAGATACCATTCCTCTCACCCTAACTACAAAAACAAGTCACTTAAGATGGGAAACTACAATATTTTTTAAAGCCTCAAGAGCTGAGAGGACACACACATACACCTAACAAATGAACTAAACTCTAGAAAGTGACAAACCTTGCATCAGAGAAAAGAAAACCCCAAACCACGTTTTTTTTTTCATTCCTGATAAAAAGTCAAGAAAAATCTGCCACATATGGAGGTATCAACCAAACTTTAAATTATTTTTAAGTCACATACATATTGGCTATTAAGATAGACAGAATCCCCACATCCCTAAGTCACAATCACTACATCTACAACCACTCATCAGCACTTACCAACTAAAACTTCTGCAGTAGTTCTAGGAGTAGTAAAGAAGAACCAAAAGAGATCACCTAAGAACATAGTTTTGAGATCTATAGGACAATATCAAAGAATCTACCACACAAGTAACTGAAATCTCAGAAAAAGAGGAAAGAAAAATGAGGCAGAAAAAAGTTTGAAGACATATAACCAAGAACTGATGAAAACTGATTAAGGACACCAAAACAGATCCAAATTAGCAAACCCAGAAAGAAAACACACACACACACACACACACACACACACACACTCCTGAGCCACCACAGTCAAACTGCTGACAAATAAACGAACTAAATCTTAAAAGCAGCCAAAGGGGGAAAAATA